CACGCAATATCCTGCTCAGTGCAAGGGCTATGTCCGCGAGTGACATGCTATCCTCGAACATATATATAACATATATATAAATATATACCGGTACATATACATATATTTATATAATTTTATTATTTTATTTTATTTCAAAATACCAAACAACGACAGCTATATAATTGTGTAACACTAATTATCAATCATGAATAATAAAAATACCATAGCATCTCCATACATAAACGGTCGCGCGAACACACACAGACACACACATCCACGCACACGCCAACGCACACGCACACGCACACGCACACGCACACGCACACGCACACGCAACGCACACGCACACGCACACGCACACGCACATGCCGCACACACAACACACACCACAACACACACACACACACACGTGTGGTGTGGCAAAATGTATGTATGTATATATATATATTATAATATATATCAGGTGTTAACTAAAACAAATTTGTATTACATATATACATATATACATCCATTATTATCTCGTGACGCCGTCTCGCCATATGGAACATCGTCGTCGACGTAACGCCTCCTGCATCATGTGCCTGAAATGAATAGACTGGTTTAACTCACTATGTATATTTTGCTCATAATATTACGATAATGATATCATAATATAAATAATGAAATAATGTTCATCTGTAGCACACCACAAAAATCAGATACGGCTAAGCGTTGCCTTAATGTCTTTTGGGTTCATTCTTGGTTAAACTAAAATGGGACCATACAATTTATCACCGTTCCTATGATCGATGGCGGATGGATTACACATATGCTGCTTTGAGTTCTGCTTGATGTCCAATGTGCAGCCATTTTAGGCAATCCCACACTCAGAAATTAAGTTGTATTATAATACAGAACAGTCTTTTCCATTTCCCAGATCACAATCTCATTATATTCCCATTTCCCCTGTATTTCTCCAGTTTTTTTAGATACAGGGAAGGGTGCGCAATCAGTTCCCCTCAGAACAATAAGTAATAAGTATACAACACAACTTTTTACGTAATTCAACAAAACGCGTATTTTAGTTATGGATTAGCGGATTGACATAACAATTAAATACTTACATGGTACGCTTCTATCGCTGTTGCTTCCTGTCTTCACGGTTCAACAGTTCAGCGCGCTATGGTGCAAACATCCAATAACATCCAACCAGCGCAAATGATCAAATTTTCCGGTGATATAATGTAAGTTCCTGAATCCTTGAACTGAGCTCCGCAGAGCTGTAGTGTTCTCCGGTATTGTGGTCACTCAGTACGATTAATGTCGCCTATGTAAGTGAGAGAAAGTGTTCTACATGTCCTCGGCTCACTACACTCTTCACAGTTGGGCTATCCTGCTTGTCCAATTATGTGGAGATATTTATTTTAGGCCCACGTATCCCGTTCTTAGTTGGGCTATTTTGGAGTAGAAGGCGATGGTTCTGTAGTTGATCAGCGCATGCGTACTGCCCAAGAGGTTTCAAGCTGTGAAGGCGTCTGCTGCTGCCGATACATCCACTGTCTCTGCCACTGCCTTTGACAGAGCCCCTGACGCGCCCCTCTAACGTCCCCTTGGGAGGTCGGTCCCTCATTCTCCATGCAGCAAGCTGTTTACTAGCTTGTTTTGGCCAACTTATAGCAATCTCATTGCCAAGCGAGGTAGTGTGTCCAGGAGTCCAGGATATGCTAATTGATGTCCAGTGATTCCAGATAGCACATTCGACTTTTACATCTGGAAATATGTGTCCAAAAACTGTTGAAATAAACATGCACTTTTAATAAATGATGAAGTCACAAATACATTGACCTACTGTACATTTATCTTTATTGAAACCAAACATTTCGTTTAACACCGGCTATTCATATGGCAAAAGAAATGGTAAAAATACTAGTAATTAATATTTATGGCAAATTGTAACACTAACACACCGTAACAATCTTATATGTTAATTCTCAGTGAATGCAAACAAATCATACAGTAGCGTCCGACCACACCAGTACTTGTTTTGTGGCGTGCGTGGTGTGTGCGTGCGTGCTCGGTGTGTGTGTGTGTGTGTGTGGGTGTGTTGTGTGTGTGTGGTGTGTGTGTGTGCGCGCGCGGGCGCGGGTGCGTGCGTATACAGCAATGTTATCATTTATGCTCCACTTAGTTTTCTTCCACACATCATTTAGATTCTCAGCAGTTGTCGTTTCTCTAGCATGTGGTCATACCATTTTTTCTTCAAGTAGAGAAGAATCACGGGACCAGGATCCTCTAATAAGTTTCTGTCTCGTCCCCACCTCTACTTTGCACAGTCTCTGCATCAAGCTTCTAAACTTTGTTATAGCAATGGTCAGGAGTAGCAGGTCGCCTTGATGTTTTACCACACTATAAAAGCCATAAGAAATTCATTATAACACACATGTTTTACCTTCTTCCAGGGTGCAAAATTAAGGGAGTCCTGATTTACGCTAACAGATTTACTGTCAGACTCCCTGATTTGACATGCAGGAGTCCCGTGTCACCTTTTTGAAAATTCTGCATAAGCTGACAGTTCGTTCCGGAGCATGCCTGCAGAATTACGTATTTTTCATCAAATGTCTAAAAGAAAATTGGCCAGACGTGCAAACTGCATGAATTCTTCAAAATAATCACATGTGTTATTGTTAATATCTTTAATTTGAATTAGTCTGCAAGACTCCCTCATTTTGCTGCGGACTGCCTCATTTTGCTGCGGACTCCCCCATTTTGCTGCGGACTCTCTCTTTTGAGGGTACGGAGTCCAACGTTCAAAACGTAAGTCTACACCTGTAATCTTCCAATTTTTCGAATTCAATTATCCTCAAGTGTAAACAGCTTTAACGGATTTGAAGCGTTTAGCTTTGTTGAAATCGCAAAGGAAATCAAACTTCTCTTGTATCGCACGCCTTCTTAACCTGTGCCCACTGTTCACTTTATTGTAGAGGCCGTTTTTTCTCGCCAAGTGAATAATGCACACTTGTC